AAGAGAAGGAGCCAGGGCAACAGCTGCCGGATGGCGTGATTGGGCCTCCAGCTCCACATCCTGCTCAGAATCCAAAGTGTCAGCCACAATTGACAAAAGCTGAAAAGCACCCTAGATGACGTCTTGTTCCGGGAGCAAGGTGTAGCCAGAGTTTGAAACACTATTGGCAAAGCTAAACCTGCCACAGAGATGGGGCAGGCTGGAGGGTGGGGTGTCAACCCAGACCTGAGACTCCCAAAGGAACATCCCTCAGGAATCACCAAGGGGAAGAGGAGGGGCTCATGGGAGCCCATAGTCTCCAGCAGTGATTGAACTTCTTATGCTCTTTGTAGAAACCCACTGAGGGGTGGGGGAGAGGGGGAGGGGAGAAAACCCCATTGAGTTGTGATAGTTCCAATCAGAATCCAGTTGGTTGTGTCCAGCAACATACTTCACGTTCTTGCATACCTCTGTGGCCACTGACCACAAGGCCCATCCTGATCCTGCCATTCACTCTCCAGAGTACCTTGGACAAGTGTCCTCATGTCTTTCGATCTCAATTGCCTCATCCCTAAAATGAAGGAATTGGGAATTATCACACCTGTGAGGACATCTACTCTTGGTTTTCTTTTTTCTTTTTTTTTTTCTTTTTTTTTGAGTTGGAGTCGACCTGCTGGGCTCCGGCGATCCTTCTACCTCAGCCTTCCAAGTAGCTGGAACTACAGGCACACACTACCATGCCCAGCTAATTTTTGATTTATTGTAGATATGAGGTCTCACCAAGTTGCCCAGGTGGGTCTCGAACCCGCAGGCTCAGGCAATCCACTCACCTCTGCCTCCCAAAACACTGGGATTACAGGCTGAGCCACCGAGCCTGGCCTACTCTTGGTTTTCAAAATGACAGAGGGCAGAGGCAGCGGTTCTCTGAGTTTGTCTGTCTGAGGGGCCCAGGGATCCCAGCTGAGCTTCCTGCTCAGTTACAACTGGAGTTGCCAGAGTGTGGGGTATCTTAGAAAGCTCACCACATCAGTGTGAGCAGTCTGGATTCCCCAAGAGCCGTGGTGACAGGGGTTATGCGCTGCCAGCTTTAATATTCGCAGGTGTGGAGAGAAGTCATTCGTTTGTCTTTAGGACACTGGCCAGTTCCATTCAACCGCGAAAGCAGTTGTGTATGTGAACACCATTAAATCGAAGTTTTAACTTTGTTTGGCTTTGTTTTGTTTCTAATCTTCCCCGGACCACACCTTGCAGTTAAAATCCTTCTTAAAACCCAAAGCTTGCATCTTCACAAAGACCATGAAGGGTGCAATCCTTCCCACCCCAGAGGCTATAGAGGGAGAAATGAGATGTCCCGTGCGATTAGGGTTCTTTGGGCCATTTTTAAAGCAGTGTCTCTACGTCGTTTAGGGAGCACCTAACTCGCAGTCCCTCCAACCGCTCTCCCTTCTTGAAGGAGGCAGAAACTGGAGCGGGACTAGGGCAAGAGCAAGCAGGTGGTGGGTGTGTCCCCACAGCCACTGGCTTCTCATCCCCCAATTTCTTGCTCCAGAACTGCCCCCAGACCCATCCTGCCCACCCAGAGTCTTAGGTTGAGGAGAGGCAGGGCCGAATCCAGGAACAGAACAGGTTAAAACTCATTGGATTTAAAAAATCCCCTGCTGCAGGCCCTGGTTACAGCCCCTCCCCTCTGGGGACCCCAAGGCTCCCCGAGGCAGTTGCGCCCAGACAGGAGAACTTGGGTTCACTTTTCTGTTACTTCGGCCTCTGGTACCTTAAAGAGGAGGCCTGGACCTGCTGGTCATGCTTGCTTTGCCTGTTGCCCGCTGGCCAAAACCTAATTGAATTAAACACCTGCCAACATCCCACTCCAGACTCTAGGTAGAGATGGCTGCCAGAGAAAAGATCCCAGAGTCACTGGGTTTCCTTTAAGGATCTCTCTGAGGTGCAAAGGGGGTCAGAGGGATTTGTGACTACCACAGTCTGAGCAACTGCCTCCCCCGGGGTTTGAAGGGTTACTGGGGGGTAATCCCCTTGACTGGAACGGCAGCCAGAGCTTCCCTTGGAGTCGGGACTTCGCCCTGACGGGACGCAGTGGCCTCGGTGGGGACAGAGCGGCAAGGGCGTCGCACTCCCGGCCTTAGGTCTCTGCCCACTCTCGGCTAAAGCGGGCAAAGCAGGGGAACGCGGCGTCGACTTTCAGTGGTTTGGTCCGCGGAACTTGGCGCTAGGAAACTTTTTTTTTACGGAGACAAGAGCCTCACCCAGCCACACAGGCAGAATGAGGCGGTGCGAGGGTACTTTGCCATATGGAGGAGAAAAAGAAAATTTACTTGAGTGGTTTCACCCAAAAAAGAGCTGAAATAGTCAATAGATTGCGTGTCTCTCATGTGTCTTTAGGAGTCTGCAGTCTGTTTGTGTCTCTTGTGTATGACTGTGTGAGTGCACGGGGAAAGAGGGTATTGAATTCATCCCCTCCAGCTCCTCTTTCCCAGGCAAAACGCTCCCGGATCGCCTCCCATCCGTGAGCTTCTGTGTGCCTTGGCAGCCTCGCTCTGAGGGATCCGCGCCGCGGGGAATTCTGCGGCGGGCTAGGCAGAGCCCTGCTCGGAGCAGAGTTACTACTGTTTGGAGTCCGTGTCTGAAACTACCTCTTGGATGGAGAATGTCTCGCTGCCCGCGAGCCCTCGTTAGCAACTAGCGCAACCGGGAAGATTCTGGTACATCGGGCGAGCTGCCCCGGGATGGGGCTACCCGCCCGAAATGCGGCCTTTCCTCCCGGTCACATGCGGCTGCTCTTCTTCCAAATAAACTTTAAGCCTGGGTGACAGAGTGAGACTCCAACTCAAAACAAAAAAAAACAAAAAAAACTTTAAGCCTCTCTGAGGCTTGCGAGATTCCATTTCTGAAGAAAGTGTGGAAAACTCCACCGCCAGGGTAAAGCTCCGCAAGAGTTTCACGTGATCAATGTCCAGGAACTAGGGGTGGGGGTGGCAGAGGCAGGGGCGCTTCCTGCGAGCGCTGGAGGAGCTTTTGGACTCCAGCCTTCAGGTGCCCGTCGCTCTGCTCACTTCGTCCCCAGACCCATAGAGCCGCCACACCCCTGGCCTGGCGAATTCTACCTGAAATCACATAATTGCATTCCCAGGGTGATAGTTTTCTTCACTTTCGAGGCCCGGGATCCCCGGTTGAGGAAGAGCGGCCGGAGTTTGGCGCAGCACTGACCGCGAGGGCCGGGGTTGGTGCGGATTACACAAAGCATGGACCCCTCCGCATCTCTATTCCCCAACCCAGCTCTACTCCTGAACTAGATATATATGCACCATCTTATTCTCCTTAACGCCAGAAACGATTTCAGTGCCTCAAAATTCTGTGTTCTTGGTGTGTCCTAGTTCCAAAATTTCAATATGTGGGAAATTAGAGGCAACAACTCTGGTAATCAAGTCAAAATTGAGGAACAGAGAAAGAAGCCCGCAGTTTGGTAGCAGAGCCTGTGGAAGGCTTGAAGCAACTATTCAGCACAGTTCAGCTAGCTCATGTCCCTATTTAAGATGGGGTCCCTTGTGGGGTGCTCTACCTTTTCCCTTGCCTACACCACAAGACAACCCTGACAGCTCCTCCCTCTTTCCTCTGGCGGCACAGCTCAACTGGGGGGCTTGGGAGGTTGGCTGAGTCAGGAAATGCGCATCTTTGCATCCCTATGCGGGCTCTTAGGCATCTGGCTGAACTGAGCAGAAAGACTGCATCTGCTGCCTCTACTCCCCCCACCCCACCCCCCGTGCCAGGATGTCTAGAACCGAGGGCCCGGGATGAACTCCAGGGGAATGAGTAAAAGTGGGGAAGAAGATAGGTAAGACCGAGGGGCTGCGGGGAACTTTTTCTCTCTGGCCAGGCAACTGGGGGGAGTCCTGGGCTCTCTGACTTCAGCATCTCTCCGAAACTCGTTCTGAAAACCGGCTCTGGGGTATCAATGCTGGGTCTGTGAGAGACTTTATGCCCTTTCCAAACTCAGTGCCAAACAAACCCAGCTGGTCAGGGCTTGTCAGGGACATCTATTTGTTTTAAAATCTCCCAAAAGAGCAGTTACTGACTCCGGACACTTTGTAGTTTGGAGGAAAAAAGTCTGGGATGACATGTCTCAGAGGAGAGAGTTTTGACTCTTCAGCTTAAAAAAAAAAAAATAGTAGCAGCATCAAGGTGAATAGGTTTACTATTTTTCCAGCTGCGGTGGGATGGGGAAACTGACTCTCAATTCACTTCAGTTCCATCGGAGGGAAGAGCTCAACCAGGCACCTCCCGTGGTCAAATTGCAAAGGAAGGTTTTTGTCGAGGGCAGTGGGTGCAGTTTCTTAGTCCTATCCATGGCCAAAGGTGAACCAGAAGGTCCGAGTTCTGATTTGGACTCTGCCTGTGCCTAACCTTCAGCAAATCATCTCCCTACCCTACAAATGTTTTGGCATTTTTAAAACCAGGACCCTGGCATTCTAAGACCGGGTTTCCAGCCCTAGCCTCTGCTGCATGCCTGTCCTTTCCTCCGCAACACTGCAGATCGGCCGGGTGCCTCCAACCCAAACCTGAGCAGGGGGTGTGCTGGAAGAGTTCCACGACTCTGTGCCCAGCACTGAGTGGCCACCTAGTGGATCGGCCCTGACCGGCACCACCGCAGTCTCCATTCCAACTCTGTGTACTCTAGAGCCAAGGAAGGTACACCGCGTCCAGACTCCATGTGGGAAAACCATTTGCCAGACGGGCCTGTCTTTCTATGGCCTGTCCCGCTCTCAGGCTACGCACGGTGTGAGAACCTGCCTTCGGTGGTGGCTGGAGCTGGTGAGTAACCTCTGAACTAGGTGAAATCTCTAAGCCCTGACGCAGAACTCTGCAGCCAGGTGACTCTGAGGTTGAGTCACTTTCCTCATAAGCTCCACCCTCCCCCTTCAGCTGCTGGCCTGCAGTGCCCAGGGTCTAAAGTCCGGTCGGAGATCCCGGACCTTAACGACTGCACCGTCCCCAGCAAGCCAAGCGGCTTTTACAAACCGTAGGAAACATTTTATTTACAAGTGTAAGGCTTCCTAAGTGCAGCACGTCTTTGCACCAGGACCTCTGCTGCAGGTCGCAGGAACAGTTTAGTCAAACACTTAACAGTACGAAGCTGCTTGTGTCCGGCTGGCGAGGGGTATATCGAGACTCTGGGCAACGTGGGCTGCAGCCAGCCGGGCTAGCAAGGGGCGCAGCGTAAACGTCGGGAGGGACGCTCTGCACTGCATCTCCTGCCCTCACCCAGTCGCCAAAATAGAGTAAGCACACAATCCAGACCACGGCTGGGAGGATGCACGCAGGGCCCTGAGTCCTCTCTGCCCTAGTTCAGTCTATAAGCCGCCAGGAGGGCCTTGGATGGGCTCGGGACTTTCGATGCTGACTGTGGGCTGGGGAGCTGGGAGCAGCTCCGAGGGGCAGCCTCCGCCGCCGCCGCCGCCGCCACTGCCAAGGCTACTGGTGCTCCCCGCGCTGGTGCTGCTGCTACTAAGGCTGCTAGAGCTGCTGAAGCTAAAACTGCTGCTTCCGCTGCTGCTCCCACCAGTCCCACTGCTGCTGGTGGTGATGAGGGCGCCTGTGACCGAGGCTTTAATAACTGTTGTTTGGTGCAAAGAGCGCTCAGCCCCCTCAGTCCTCTCTGTGTCGCTGGGGGCCAGGTCCAGGGACTCGGAGTCGCTGCTCTCACTCTCAGCCTCGCCTTCGGAGCGGCTAGGGCTCCTCTCGTCCTGTTCTTCCTCTGCAACCGGGGCTCCGCCTGATGACTTCTCACTGGCTTCCTTGTCCTTGTCCTTCTGGGCCTGGGCCTCCTTGGAGTGCCTCCACTTCATCCGCCGGTTCTGGAACCACACCTTCACCTGCACAGCGGGCACAGGGAGACAAAAAGAGATGAGACACAGGTTCTCTCCCATTCGACTGGTATGCACCCACAGTCACCACCTAAGGTGAGAAAGCACCTTTCATCACGCCCTCCATCTCTAACCAAAGACTAGGCACTGTGCTAGGTGCAGGGCCTGAAGAGCAGCCCAGGGGAGCAAGGAGGTTAGGAATTCTGGCCCAGGGAACCCACTAAGATGGTTCTCAAAATGTGACCTTCCAGCCTCAGGCCTGAAATGATCTGGGTGCTTGCTGGAAATGCAGATTCCTGCATCCCATCCCACTCTCTCTATCCTAAATCCATGCTTCTATATCTTGAGTCAGAACCCCTATAAGCAGCTGATTGAAGTTAAGGACTCCTGGCCCAGAAAAAAAAAAATGCATATACTCAAGATTTTGCACCCAAATTGCAAGGGTTTGGTGGTCCAATGTTATAAATTCCTGCTCTTAGCTGGCCCTCTCCTTTACTGCTATTGCCCACAGCAAGTCCCTACAAAAGCAATTCTTTAAAAGAAAGAAAGAAAGAAAACAGAACCCTGGGAAGCAAAAAGGGGAAAGGAGGTTCAAAGAGTTAATCCCAGTGGGGTGGGGGTATTTCTGGGCTTTCAGTAAAAGAGTATTTCCTTGGTGTGTGTGTACTCAGGAGCTGATAAAGACCCTGCCCCTACCAGGGAAAACTAATTATTCTGTAGGCTCAGAAAATGCTGGACTTAAATTGTGCAAAGTGGAGGAAGGAGGTAGAGATGGGGCAGAGAATCTATATAAATATATACGATCCCTTGGGGGACCCAACACGTTCACACAAGTTCCAGCTTCCCTTTTAAAAATAACATCCACAGCTGGTGGAAAACGGCTGGGCTCTTCCAGTGTGTGTGTGTGTGTGTGTGTGTGTGTGTGTGTGTGTGTGTTGGAGAAGGGAGTTGGGTAATGGAGGACAGAAAGACACAGATACAGTCATTGGGGGACAAGAGAGCTAAGAAAAAGAAGGCTGCCTCTGGTTTCTGCCCTGCTGGGGACGGTCAGCACCCCAGGAACAAAGGCCACTGCTATGGGTTGTAGAATGACTGTGGCTTCTATAGTCAAAACTCAAAAAGGAAAAAAATCAATTTAAGGAAAAAAATCAATTCAGGCTTAATAGATTTCTTAGTCTTGAAAAAAAAATTAGGTAGGTAAAATCTGCTAAAGTGCTCTTGGCATTCTAAGAAAACCTTTTTTCTTTCTTTCCCTTAGCCCCCCCCCCCCCCCCCCCCCC